CCTGCAGTTGGAGGGGGCGGGTGGGGGGCAGGTAGTAAGACGGAAAGATGGGAAAGGGGAGGGTTGTTCAGGGTTAAAGTGATGGATGGAGGCGGGAAGAAAGAGAGGGGTGGGAAAGAGCTAAAAATAAAAGAAGAGCATGCTCATCAACCTGGTCAATTAGTGCAATAGGAACCAGCTCGAGTGGCAGTTTGTTTTTGTCTGAGCACTTATGTTATGGAAATGACTTTTCCGGGAGCTTCTTAAAAAGAGGTGGATATTTATGCCGCGTTTGATTGCAGACTTGAATTTGAATAGTGAGAGAGGAAGGGAGGCAGGGAGGACAGGAGAGACAGAAGAGGAGAGACGGGGCAAGAAGAGGCGGGGAAGGAAGGAGGGGGGGAGATGGGCGCGCGCACGCAGACACACACTCCAGCAAAGAAATTTGTTTATGAAAAATGTAGCACTTATTCAAGAGGAAGTTTAAAAAAAAAAATCGGCAGAGAGTGTCAAAATGGTGGTGAGCAGAGGCGGAGAGGCGGGAGGGAAACAGGAAAACACACACACACACACACCCGCACGCACACAATTTCTAATACATCTTTCAGCCTAAAAAAAGCCCATTTACAAGGAACACATTTAGCTTGTTCTTACAAGATCATTTATTCTGTGGGAGTATATGCACTACCAAGACATGTTAACACAGAAGCTTACTCAGAACCACAACCTAAAGTGTCTTGGCTAAAAATGGCCCGTATTTACGTGTTGTCACAACATAAATCAGGACTAAAATTGTAAAAATAAACAGAACGCCGTGGCTGAGTCGGCGTTGGGACTGCTGGTTTTTCTGGTATGGATTATAACACTTGGAAGGAACAAGTCATATATGTGTTAGATCGTCTGAAGGACAAAAAGGACACGGTGACAGGTGGAGAATATGAAAGCTCACACGTGCATCCAAGTGTGAACAAAGGGGCCATCAACTCGAGAAAAAAAAAAACACAAAAAAACCTAAATGTAGACACCAGATTGACAGGACTCTTGGTACAAAAAAACTTGACTTGAAGATGACAAAAAGAATCTCTGACAGTGCCACTATGGCAGAGCTTAAGATTACATTTACAATTTTATAAAATTTTTGGCATAAAGACTTCAGTAGGGTCTCACCGTTTTTAAAATATCTCAATTTCATGATTTCACTTTCCATTTCGAGAAGTTAGAATTAGTCAGAATTAAACCTATAATTTGGACAGCGCTGAAAACTCACAAACGTACACACTATAAAAGATAATGTAGCTTCCAGGTCCGAAAAATGAAGCCAACATCTAAGCGACTCAAACCTGCAGTCTTTTCAAAGGCCACCAGGGGGCGATCAGTGTGGTTGAAAAGACACTTCCAGTCCAATAGAGGTCAACAAGAAAACATCCCTCGAACTTGACTTCTATAAAGACTTTTGTGGTGTGTTTATGGACTCAGTCTCTCAATTTAGCCATAGTGAATAAACCGTTAAGTCCATTTTGTAAATTTGGGTCATTCTAAGTGTCAGAAACGAGATTTGACGAGACGTCAGCCAATGAGTGTGCACTTGCACAGTCAGCTCCACCCGCTGGTCTTAAAAAGATGGAGTCGGCTTATCTCAAAGCTTTAAAAAGGGCACGTCACGGTACCTATGTCCATCTTTCATACTGTCAGCGGTCACAAAGTAACAATTATTCCAAGAATGTCAGACTCTAAAGACTCCATTGTTGTACATTTTTCATTGGAACTACTTTCTGCCAAGAGAAAAAAAAAGAAGTAGGTCCAATAAAAACTGCTGACATGCTCTCTGAATTATTTGAATGAACATAAGGTGAAAAAGCCTGAATGCAATCGTGTGTGTTTAATTTGGTTTTCAGTTACATATGTCACCTAAAAAGAAAGCAACATTAAAAAGTAACGATTTATCGAATCAATACCCAAGACTAAAAAAAACAAAGAAAACAAACCCTTTACTC